TAGCAGAAGACTGCGGAGTGCAGACAGAAGAGTGCCTTTCTAGAGAAGTGTGAGATAATGTCTTTCTAGTGGGGTTTAGTGGTCAGAGAGACAGGAGGTAGAGCTTTGGGGAGGCCCGTGTCGATGGTCTCAGCACCAACTAATGAGCCAACTAGAGCGCTGTTCACACTGTCTTCCTCTGGGTTTGCCAGCAACAAAGAAAACCTGAGTGGTAGGAAATAATTGGTATTGCTCAGTTGAAAAGCCTGAACAAGTCAAAGGTAATTTTTTTGACCTGGATGATTGTCTCTTGCTGGGGAATCCTTCTCCCTGAGGGAGGAAGCAGAAAGAGACGTTAGAATAATTTGGAGGCATTCACAATGCAGATTGGAAGAGGAAGCAAGGCCCAGCAATAGATGCCAAACTTAGAACTTCAAAGCATGTAGTTCTGGTTTGGGTCACCCCTCACCGTTTGCTGAGGACTATATCAACAACTCACTTACTGGGGAGTGAGATGAAGTCTGTGAATTGCCTGGGATTTTTCCCAGCTGATGAGCTTTAGTTTGACCCTCAGCATAACATCTCCACCTTCTCTTCATCTTTTCTTTAACTCCTTTCATCTGATTCCTTTGACTCTTTACCATGCAATCTCGAACGTGTTCTTCTATAGGGATGCTTCTATCAGGATATTCATCTGTTTCCTAGTCTAGTTTGTAAAATTACTTAGGACCACAGAAACTGAGGCTTGAGATCTTGCCAGAGCTCATACCATTCTTTCCATCAACCAAACAGAAGAGCCCAACTGTTTGGAAAAGCAAGAGAAGTGGCTAATAAGCAGCATTCGGTTGGGGGGCATCCATCCTCTTCTGGGATTGGCCTCCGTAGTAGCAAACCATGCAGAAAGATTTGTAAAAGATGGACTCATGGAAGGAGGGCTAGGAAAAAGGTTCTCTTCTGTAAAGAGCAGAGCAGGCAGCACTGGGGAGGGTGGGTTGGTGGGGGATGAGAAGAATGATCATGTGGCTGAGTGAGTTATGGATGTGCTGAAAGTGAGCTCAGAGTTTCCAGAGTGAATATACTTCTGCAGGGGAACTTCCAGGGGAGCAGCACGTGCAAAGGAAAACTAGCACTGGATCTGAAGTTACAAAGCCTGAGTCCTAAGTGACGGGTCACGTGTATGACCTTGAGCGAGTTATTTAACATCTCCGAGCCCATTTCTTTATCTATGAAATGGATCAGTGAAAGGACAGTTTCCAGGATATGTGATTTGCATCAGTTGAAAGAGATAAAACAAATGAATGCTTGCCAAAATGACCCTGGCACTTGGGGAACAGGTCTTTGTGGATATCTCCAGCACTGTTCTTTTCTCTCTTAGGAATTGCCTCAAAGTAATGGAACATAGTCTGCCCAACAAACAGGTCTATATAGATGGGGATAAGACAGATGTAGATATAAATATAGATATAGATAGACAGATATGGATATAGATATGGAAGGTCAGACTGCAGAAGGAGGAAGTCTCTGGGGACAAGGGAAAGAGGACCAGCAGGCTAAAGATCTGGTTCCAGTTCTGAGTCTATCACTTATTGGTCATGTGAAGAAACTGAGGCTTGCCAAGCTTATTTGTAAAGAGAGGAGGCTACCTCCCCTGCTGTTCTCATGTGGTTGTGAGGAACAAAACATATGGAATATAGATGTAAAAATGCCCTCTAAGCTCAAAGCTGCTACCTTATAATGTAGGTATCAGGTTTTAGGGAAAAGGACAGGTGGCACAGAGGTCACTGGAGTTACTTAGTATATTTTGACATCTCTATAGAGTAGAATAAGACTTGGTCTGCAGACAACAGGCCATACCTATAGGTCACTAAACAACCTTCCCTTCTGAATTCTCCAGAATTCAAACAAACCGGAATTTTCTGGTCCCTGTGCTAACCTTGGCCCATTTTAGAAAACTTTGGTCAGACTTTCTTACAATGCCTGTGTAATTTGGGAGAAGAAACTTTATGATTTGACCTGCCCTGCCTCTGATATTCTGGCCACGCAAAGACCAGGCCCTTCTACCATTATTGCAGGTGTATGATGGAAATTATGTTTCCTTTTTGGTGCAATTTGTACAATGTGACCCTGGGCCATTCTGGGTCAGGTGCTGCAGCTGAAGTGGGAGGGTGAAAGGACAGTGAAAACCATCAGAAGAACTGATAAGTAGCCAGGTAAATTGAGGCTGACAACGAATGGACATTTGTGACAATATATGATGCTACCAAAATTTGCCACCATGATACCTCAATCCATATACTTAGTTCTGGAGCTGAGCTAATTGGGAAATTTGAGTCTCAAAATTCAGCTCTTCCCCTGCTGTGACATCACCAGGAGTCAAAAAGGGATGTGGAGCAAGTGGAGTCTGACTGTGAGGGATATCTCAGTGCCAAGGTGTCACCCACAGAAGAGAAGGGAACAGAAGAGGGAGAGAGGAGAGCCACAGAATGTCCTTTTTTCTCTTCAACTCCTGGCACCCTCTCACCATAAGCCAGGAAAGTAATGATCTGCTCAAGTTATAAAAACAAAGTAGAAATAAGAGGAGGACAAAAAATCAAGAGGTACAGGGTGATCTCCTTCTTCTTCTAAATTTCTTTGGGATTCATGTTTGGACCATAAATTTGGCCTTTAAACTGTCAGACTTCTTTTCCTGTGGACTATCTTTTTTCCTCAACTAAACAGCATGCTTCTTGTTTTAGATCTCTCCCAGTTCCTGTATAATAGATGCTTCAAGCATTTGGTTGACTGAAGTGATTGCATGAGCTTTCTCAGTCTTGAGGAGAGAACTGTGGCAAGGCTGCCACCTGTTTCCATGACAAAGTGTTAAGAGTGACTCAGCCTAACATCCAGTTGGGTTGCCCTTAATGAGAGAGAGACTGTATTTACAGGGCCGGGTCACTTCCCACTTGACTCAACCGAGCTTGCACAGGCTGTGCACATGCTGGCTGCTCCTACCTCGGACTTGTGGAAAGAAAGAAGAACATGAGAAGTGCAGGAATCTGTGGCTTTGGAACTTCACAGAGACCTTTCCCAGGGGCTGCAGTTAGAGAACGGTCCTTTGGATTCACCTTTGCTAAAGAACTACAGTGAAAGTTCTGGGAGATGTTTGCTCAAAGTGCCACCCCCATCCTCAAACCTTCCTCAGTGCTAAATGGACATTGAACCACCCACTGGAAATGCAGCTCCCATTTTCGAAGCCTTACAGTGAGGTTGGGGAAACAAGAGGCACACGCTCCAAGTAAGTTCCAACATATCAGATGGTGAGACAGATGGCAAGTTCTACTAAAGCTCCAAGAAGGAAGGAGTTGCTCAGGACTTGGCTGGTCCAAGAAAGCTTTATAGAATCTGAAATGGACCTTGGATAAAGGGTACAAGTTGACCGACTAGAAAAGAAAATATGTTGGAGGGTAGTGAATAAACTCGTTTTAGCTGGAGCAGGTTTCATGTGGTCACATAAAGTTGGAAAAGGTTCTGGAAGGCCTTGAATTCTGGATTTACAGTGTGCATCTTAATAAGCATTGGAAGCCATCAGATATTTTTGAGCAGCTGTGTAAATACATACGAGATTTTTATTTATTTATTTATTTTTTTGAGACAAGGTGTTGCTCTGTCACCCAGGCTGGAGCGCAGTGGCATGATTCTGGCTCACTCCAGCCTTACAGTCCTCCTGCCTCAGCCTCCCTAGTAAGTTAGGGGTACAGGTGCGTCTCACCATGCCTGGCTTTTTATGAAGACCACCTGGTGGTAGTGGAGAGGATGAGATAGAGGCTTGGAGTTGGGGAGGCTAATTAGGAACAGTCTTGTAGAAACTATTGAATATCCAACTGAGGTGAGAACAGAGAGAAGGGAAACACAGCTCTCAATTCTGTGAGAACCTCTTCTTGGAACAGTACTTGTGTGATATTCATTTGATTTAAAAATGTCCAGGAACACTTTGACCCTTCGCTTTTCTCATAGTCTCCTGACCATTTTTCCCAGAAGAGATAATGGAAAAGAAAACTGCAGTATAACCTACTTGAATGACCCCGGGCAGTTCATTCTGCCCCTTGACACTTTATCTAATTTAAATAAGATAATAATGCTTTACCTGCCTGAAAGCAGAGGACTGGAATACTGATTTTATTTTATTTTATTTTATTTTTATTTTTTGAGACAGGGTCTCGTTCTGTGGCCCAGGCTGGAGTGCAATGACGCAATCACGGCTCACTGCAGCCTTGACCTCCGGAGACCAAGAGATCCTCTGCCCTCAGCCTCCCAAAGTGCTGGGACTGCAGCCGAGCCACGGTGCCTGGCTTATCTTGCGGATCTTTTCAACTCTAAGACTGAATACCTTTCTTTTCTTTTTAAAGTTCTTTTTCGGAACCCTCAAACACCCACTGTCTTCAAACAGCCATTCCAGCCGGGTCCGGGGACAGCTGCGCGCTGGGGGTCACCGTGGGGGCTGCACGGCTTCCCCGGGGCCTCGGAGACGTGGCTCAGGCGGGGAACAAAGGTCTGCAAATCTCACCCGGAAAACGAAGCTGTGTCTGAGATAAGCGTCCAGCGGCTCCCCACGAACATCGCCAACTAGGAGTCGGGTCGTTGCTGTGGGCGACGAAAGGCTCTGAGCTAAAGCCTCGGGCGTGGCCCGAACCAGCCTCCCCTTCGCTTCTGCCGAAAACCGCCAGGCGTGGGGCGGGGACCACGTCTCCCTCGGTCACCGAGTCCAGAGCAGCGCTCGCCCCTGCTCATCCCACCCGTGCCCCGTCCGCGGAGGCGCCGGCACCAGGTCTCCGGCCCCCCCACCTCGCTCCCCTCGGGAAGCCACAGCGGCCTCGGCGTCCCCGGCTCTCGGGGGCGGGGCCCACCTGTGCCCGGGGCGGGGCGGGGCCAGGCGGGGCGGGGCGGGGGCGGGCCAGGTGCGGCGAGCGGGAGAGTCGGGAGCCCGAGCCCGGGGGGCGGAGGCGGGGGCAGGGCGGGCGCCGGGGAAACCTCCTCCGGGCGGCGAGGGAGGGCGGCGCGCAGGGCGGGAGAGGGAGGGCGGCCGCGAGCCCGCGACGGGAGCGGCGTGGGGAGGAGAGCCCGGCGCGGAACACGCGCGCGGAGGAGGAGCCGGCCCCGCTCCCGGAGAGACCCCTGGCGCCCGGAGCATGAGCCCGCGCCCCGCCGCAGAGCGCCCGGGGGAGACGGCCTCGGCGCAGCCCTGAGACGCTGGGCCGGGACGCGGGGCGCGGGGCCCGGCCGGGGGGCGGCGGCCGCCTCGGTCAGCGCCATGGGGAGCCCCCGGGCCGCGCGGCTCCAGCTGCTCCTGCGCCCGGTGAGGCTGCTGCGGAGGCGCTTCCGGCTGCTGCTGGCGCTCGCCGCGGTGTCCGTGGGGCTCTGGACTCTGTATCTGGAGCTGGTGGCGTCGGCCCAGGGCGGCGGGAACCCCTTGAACCGGAGTAAGTAGCGCCGAGGGCAGGCGAGGGGCGCGGAGCGGGGCGGCCGCTGCGTCGGGGGACCCGCCTCACCCCGTGCCCGGACCCATTCCCGCCCCAGGTGCCCGGCGTCGCCCCGCGCGGACTCGGGGGAAGCCGCGGGGCCGAGCGCAGAATCCCCGAGCCGGGCCTGCCCGCCGGCCGTGTGGGTCCGGGGCATCCTCGCGGCTCCCCGCGGAGAGCGACCGGGACGGAGGCTCCCCCTCTCCGCCCAGACGCTGGCGGAGTCCGGCCCCTCCAGCCGCTCCGGGCTTGCGGCTCCCGGGGAGGAGGTCCGTGGGGTCCACGCGCGAGCTGGGGATTCGGGTGCGGGATGCCCTCGGCCGTCCACGCCCGGGCGCGCGCTCCAGTCCGCGCAGCCCGAACTTTGCCCCCCCGCCTGCTCTTTGGCTCACTGTTTCCTCTCCCGCCGCATCTTCCAGGGGCTTCTTTTTTTTTTTTTTTTTCCATACCTCGGAGAGTCCCCTCTCCTCCCCGCTTCCCCTGCGTCACTCCTCTCCCGGCCCCGTCCTCGGTTCCTCCGAGTCTCCCACCTCCTCCCTGCGCCCTCCCGCTCCTGTTCTGGCCGCCCCTTCTGCTACTTTTCTGAACCCTGAGCGATCTAGCAACCTCCCCAGTTTAGGGAGATGATGGACAGCACAGTGGACCGGGCAGCGGGTAGATTCCTGCTTCTGTTTCTAACTTAGCCGAAGCCACTTAGTATTTCCGTGCCTCAGTTTCCTCCTAGGAAAACAGGAGAGCATGGTCTCTTTGCCTTTTCACATCAGTAGGTATGGCTGTGCGAGGCGGTTTTCACCGTACTGTGGATGGGCCTAACAAAGTAAAACTCAGTGTCAGGGGCTGTAAAAGATCCTGGAATAGTTGGGAAAAGCAATGGAGAAACGCCCGTTACTACCAGGTGCCCAACCCAAACCCGAGGAGCCGAGGTTCAAAGTTCTGACACCTGGCCTCCCGTGCCTTCACTTCCCTCCCGCTTCGGGAAGCTCAGACAGTGGCTGAGCAAGTTGCGGAGAAGATACTGTGCCTCTGACCTGTCGTCAGCTTTCTACCCAGAGTTGGGTGTGGTGCTGTGCCTTCTCTTGTGGCCAAAGACACAGAATTACTAGGGACAGTCGCTGAGCTGGTTCAGGTTGGAAATGTGTATTTATGGCCTAACCTTTCTGTGGTGATGGAAATAATTCCGGCTGCGAGTTGGAGGAGACTGGCTCTGCCACTAACTAGCGGGGGAGTCGAGGGAAAAAGGACAGCTTCTCAGGTGAAAATCAGGACTTTGGTCTAAATGGTCTCCAAGGTGTCTTTCAGTCTGGATACTAAGACTGATCTGCGCGCAAGCATTTGCAGGGCCAGAGAGCTCCGCACATCACCAGGAAGCCACAGCTTCCACGCCGGGGCCACGGCTCCACACAGCAGAGTGCTTTCCTCTGGTGACCACAGTCTGCCTGCCTGTAGCGAATTCTTCCCTCCTCTGGGCCTTGTTCTTCCTTCTGAAAGACAGAGAATGAGTCTGTTCTCCCCCGCCATGGCCACTCAGGCCCAAATGGATGAGCTCCTTTGGAGTGTGTGTGGGTGGGGGCCTGGGAGGCGACACCTGTTCCCAGTGTAGCCATCATTTTGTTTAACCAGTGGGATCTTGTGCACAAATTAAAAGCAGAGAGGAAAGCAGTTGCTTTGTGACCTTGGAATCAGTAACCTCCCTTTCTCCCTCTCCTCACTTTTCTTTTAGCTCAGGTGTGTTTTCTTCTCAAACCTGGATCTCGTTTGCCACAGTCATAATCTTACACTCGGCCCTCGACCTCTGCCTGTCTCCTGTTGGCTGTCTCATTCCGAGCCATCAGTTCTTGAGTCTGTTGGGTTCCCCTCTCAGATGAATCTTAACTCTCTGACTGGGTTTCCTTATTTTTTGTTTTCTTTTCCAAACCAATTATCCAGAAAACTCTCCCCAGCCTTCTATTCCGGAATCGACGGTTTCCTTACTCATGGTTTTTAACAGGAGGCTAAGCTTGCACACTGATGCACCTTGTGTCCTCTCTCCTGAGAACCCTGAAATTCGTCTATTGTGCAGGGTGTCTTTTTGTCCTGGGCTGTCCGTTATACTCTTGATTTCCCTGTGGAATGAGAGTTAGACAGGAGCTGTGGTGTCTGCCTCCTTGTCTCCCATCCTTTTGTTGTTAAGAAGCTTAGACATCTTGCATCAAAGTTCCCTCTTTTCCTGTGGGTTTCATTCCCAGCTCAGAGCTTTTCCTCTGGAGGGAGAGCCGGGCAGGAGGCATTGGGAAAGGAGAGGTGGAAAGGGGGTTGCTAGCATTCCCAGCTCCACACTCGTGGATACCAACAGGAACCAGGGTAGTAAAACTGCACCTCCCAGCCCTGCGCCCCTGGCCTCAACCACAGCAACCAGAACCAGCTTGTTGGCTCTGCTTTCCAGCAAACCACCCTGCCTCCCCTCTCTAGCAATCCCTGCCAGCTCACTCCACCACCCACAGCTCCCTGTCAGCTGTAAGGCCAGCCCCCATTACCAGCAACCTTTCATTTGCCTGTCCCTGTGCTGGATCTGGTGCTGGAAGAAGAGTATGGAGAGATGGCAGTCACAAACTCCAGGGTTACCAGTAATGACAGGGGAGCATACTTCCTTCTTTATCTTCATGAAATAACCCAGTAGTTTAAGATGTGGATGGTGTACAATTTGGATCCATGTGCAGAAGGAGATACAACCACAACTGGAGTGGCTTCAGAGAAAAACAAGCAAAATCCTTAACAAATAGAAAGTGGACAAAAGAATTAGGACTGTTCACTCATTCATGTACACAAATATTTACTTCGCGCATACCTTGAGCCAGGGGTTGTGCCAAGCCATGTAGGTGTGATGACCAGGACGTGGTTTCCAGCATCTGCAGCTTTGTCTAGGGGGAAAGCTAAGGTGCCTATATCAAAATAGTTGTAATATAAAGCAGTCATTGAGTTTCGCAAACATAGGACCCATATGTTTCTGTGGCACCTCTCAAAATGGGGGCACAGCTCTCCATGAACTATTATTTCATGGAAATGGTGGCATTTGGGGACATTCTGAAGAGTTGGTTAGATTTTGGTGGATACAGAAAGGCTATTCCAGACAGAAAGAGTAACGTCCACAAAGACCCAGCGTCGGGGAAAGTTTGTGTTTGAGAATATTGAGCAGCTGAGTTTGGCGAAACAGAGGGTATAAGGAGAACAGAGGATGATGCTATGTGTGGAAGGCTGAATAGAAACCTTGCAGAGTGGTGTTTATTCAGTAGCTGGTAGAAAGCGGTTGAAAGTTTTAGAATACGGTAGCATCGTAGAATGGGACAGGTAAGGGTAACAATACTTTCGGTGTGGCATGGTGGTTCTGGGACAGGGTCCTGAACCAGTTAATGTTGGGCTCCCCTTGTTGGGCCCAACATTAACTCTTTAGCGGCTAGATAATGAAGCTGTCCTGGGGAGGGGTCCAGGTGGCAGTGGGACACTCAGAGGGCCTGGGGCAGCCACTGTTCTAACACATGCATAAGAATTTCGGTGTTTTAATAAGTGGTATGGCTATCCTGGTATGTACTGGCTGAAAAGCAGCCCTGGGAACAAATTGTTGTTGGAAGTTAAAGATTCTCCGATTAGGCAGGTTTTAACAAGTTATATACCCATTTGTTCATATTGGATCAGCAAAGATTCTATTTGAAGGCAGAGTTCTGGCCTAGAGGCCAGGGGTGGTGGCTCACACCTGTAATCCCAGAACTTTGGGAGGCCGAGGTGGGCGGATCATTTGAGGTCAGGAGTTCGAGACCAGCCTGGCCAACATGGCAAAACCCCATCTCTACTAAAAAAGATAAAAAAAACACCCAGTCGTTGTGGTGCACACCTGTAATCCCAGCTACTGGGGAGGCTGAGGCAGGAGAATTGCTTAATTTGACAGGCAGAGGTTGCAGTGAGCTGAGATTGCACCAGTGCACTCCAGTCTGAGTGACAGAGCGAGACTCCACTTAAAAAGAAATTGGTTTCTAGAGATGAAATATCTCAGAGCCAAGGGATGATATTTGGGCTCAAATCCAAGACAGAAGGATGGCATGTACTGGCCTCTTTTAGAGCTCCCATTTAAGGGCCAGGATTACTTGCTGGATCCCAAAGTATTCTGAAGCTCAGGAAGTCACTGGTTTTCATTGCCCTGCCTCTGTCTGTACCACATCTCTCTGGTTGGCCTTTGTGACTTCTGGCTGACTTGAGTGGGCTGAGGGAGGCACATCCACAGTGTGAGGCAGTCACTGCAGCCCTGGCCACCACAGCCATTTGGATCTGGAAAGGATACAAACCCTCCAGTAACAGAGGTAATACAGGGCAGAGCAGTAATCTGAGACGCAGGCAGGGAGAGAGGGAGAAGCACATGAGACAGATGTGTGGGCAGAGGAGGGATAGTGTGGCGTGGAGTTGAAACCCAGTGAAGCAACAAGCACAACTGCCTTGTGTGCTCCTGTGGGCAGGGACTGTGTCTCATGCGGCTCTGGCTGGGCTGCCTCTCTGTCCCAGGGAACCTCTAGCTCCTTTTGACGTGTCCTGTTTACCTCTCTTTATGCTGATACTCCAGTCACCAGGCCACTATGTGTGTCTTCAAATCAACATTCAATTCTGGGCACACACTAGGCGCTCAGATAAGTACCTTCTGGTTATGAATGTGTCAGCTCTGAATTTCCAAGCACCTGATATTTTCCACTGGCAGATACTGTGTTTATCAGGGACTGATCCAATAATAGAACCTAGGAATTCTTGTTCCCTGTACCATAATACGTATACACAGCAATAGCCTTTGAATACAAATACAGAAGATAAGCGACAAGACATCAATGGTTTTCTTTTTTTTTTTAATCGTAAGCGTGTTTTCTTTGGGCATCGCCTATACGAGGAATGCAGTTTTTGACAATAGGTGACCTTACCCATGTTTAGAGTCTGTCTTTTCCCTGGTC